CGCCTCCCTCCTCCTCTCCCTGGGCGCGTGCCGCCCCTCGGCGGCCACGCGCAGAGGTCGGGGCTCAAGAGACGGGGGTTATTGCAAACGGTCCGCACGAACGAAATGGAAACGGAAAGAATAGGTACAATGCCCAACAGCAGTTCTTGTTCGTTTTGAACAGGACTCGCTGTCCGCGCCGCCGCGGCCCGTGTCCATGCGAGGCAGAAGGCCGCCTGCCCAAGAGCGGCCGCGGTTGGTTTCGGACAACGTCTGTTGTTGGGCACAGTACCCATTCCTTCCGTGCCCACCTCGGGCGTCCAAATCAGGCCAGCTCCAGCTCCTGGGGTCTCCGCTCCACAGCCGCGGCCAGCTCCAGCTCCTGGGGCCTCCGCCGGCGCCGCCGCAGCCAGCTCCTGCGCCCTCGCGTGGGGTGGGCTCGGCCTCCGCCTGGCGCCCCGCCGCGGCCTGCCACGCTGCCTGCGCCTCAGGAGGAGACGTGATCCCCGCCCCGTCCCTGGAAAGCCCCCAGCGCTCCTGAGGAGGTGGCCGGGAGTGCTGCGGTGCCCTGGGAGGCGGGCGCTCCTGCGGCGCCTGCTCGGGGGGCCCGGCCCCTCGAGGACCCACTCGGGAGCTCCGGGGGCCCTCTTTTGCGATCCTCCCCGCTGGGCCTCTCGGGCACTGCCAGCTGGTCCCACGTGCGCGGAGCTCGTCTTCGCCGCCGAGGCAGGGAGAGGTGCACGAGTCTCAGGAGCAGCGGCGCGCCGAGGGGGGAAGCGAGAGGGGCCGCGCCCTCTCGGAAGGCGGCGGGGCTGAGCAGAGGCCCCTCGAGCCTTCTGGGAAGCCCTATCTGTGGCCTCGGAGGAGGCTCGGGAAGCCAGTCCGAAGACCAGAGGCCCTCCCAGACCCCCGAGGTCGTGTTTTTTTCACAACGTCGACCTCCCTGGAGGTCTGGACCCTGTCCGGGGCCGATGTTTCATCTCTCGAGGCCCGGCGAGGGCCCCAAGAGGCCGAAGACGGCGACGTGATCGACCCACGAACCCGGAAAGGGATATAGAAATGTGAGGCATAGCAACGTTTTCAAGACACCTGATTGGGCGATGGGCAGTTACAATGCTGAAAGTATCGATATTGGTGTACCGTCCCCAGGGCTGTGCTGTGTTGTGCTATGCCGGGCTGAACTGCGATGTGCCATGCCGCGATTGTGCTCTATAGCGTTGTCGATCGAGTCCCCCATGGCATTCGAGTCCTGACCGAACTGATTTGGATCTTAAGCTCGAGCTGCCTGAGCACATGGTAGCCGCCCCAGAGCTAGTTGAAGCGGAAACGTGGAGGACGTTCAATCAACTCGACCTCAAAATCCGTCTCAGCTCCGAAAAGGAACGACACGACACGGGGCACAGGCCATCAGGGGGCGTGCCCTGGACGTGTCAGGGAACTGCCACGAGGCGTGCCAGGGCGGGTGCCATGGGGCGGCCAGAGGACGTCATGCCAAGGGACGTTGCAAGGGTCGCGCCAGGGAACGGGCAGGGGAAACGCGACAGAGGACGAGCCAGGGAACGTGCCACGCCGAGTGGCGTGCTAGGGGACGTGCTAGGGCACGTCATGCCTGAACGTCGCAAGGGACGTGCCTGGGGGGGGGCGCGCCAGGGCGCCAGGGGACGCCCAACGGACGGGCGGGGTTCGGTTGGACTGCGACGCACTCTATTGCGACAAGCGTTTGGCTCGAGACATCCTCAACAAGTCCTCTTGCTAGACATCCGTCTGGGCGACCTGGACACGTGAAACCAAGCGTCTCGCTCGAGACGTTCTCAACACATCCTCATGCTAGACATCGACACGCGAAAACGAGCAGTTCGCTCGAGACGTTATCAGACCATCTTCATGATAGACATCCGCCTTGGCGACCTGGGCACGTGAAAACAAGCGTCTCGCTCAACACATCCTCATGCTAAACATCCGCCTGGGCGACCTGGGCACGTGAAAGCACGCGTCTCGCTCGAGGCATCCTCAACACACATTCATATTAGACATCCGCCTGAGCGACCTGGGCACGTGAAAAAAGCGTCTCGCTCGAGACCTTCTCAACACATCCTCAGGCTAGACATCCGCCTGGGCGACCTGTACACGTGAAAACAAGCGTCTCGTTCGAGGATTCCTCAACACATCTTCATGTCAGACATCCGCCTGGGCGACCTGGACACGTGAAAACAAGCGTCTCGTTCGAGACGTCCTCAACAAATCTTCATGTCGGGCATCCGCCTGGGCGACCTGGGCACGTTAAAATAAGCGTTTGGCTCAACACATCTTCAACACATCCTCATGCTAGACATCCGCCCGTGCGACCTGGACACGGGAAAAACAAGCGTCTCGAGAGAGAGACATGTTCAACAAGTCCGTATGCCAGACATCTCCCTGGGCGACCTGGACGCGTGAAAGCAAGCGTCTCGCTCGAGACATCCTCAACACATCCTGATGCTAGACATCTGCCTGGGCAAGCTGCAGGCTTGAAGCCAAGCGTCCCGCTCGAGACATCCTCAAGACCTGGGCACGTGAAAACATGCATTCCACCTCAGACATCCTCTGAATTCTGGTCCCCAGGAGAGGAACGATCCATAGCACAAAACACCAGCGTTTCGCTCGAGACATCTTCAACAAATTATGCAAACATTCAAACAACAACAACAACAACAACAACAATCACTTTACCCGAACGCTCAGTGTTCTCACCAGTGCCAGGGTTTTCATGCGACGCCAGCCAATACCCCCACTTTGTGGGGGGGCAGTGCAAGCTCTACCAAATATCCACACGACTCTTCGCCACCACCCACACCCAGCTTCCCGCCCTATGACGTTCGGACACTTCACTTCGTGGCCTGCGGACGACCGTGGCTACTACACTGGCGTGGAGTACACACCCACAGAAGTTGTTAGGACAGCGCGCGCGGGTAGAAATTTTGAAAAGTCGTGCAGGTGTTTTTCGAGGACCTACGGTGCGATTCGTGTGATTTTATGATGCGCGGTGCTAAAATTCTTAAGAAGCCCAATGGTTTTTGGAGATTTCGGCGTGCGCGCGCGAAGAAAAAACGAATGTGTCCCGCATGGTATTATTTGACAGGGATGATGGCCCTGGCAGGTGCGCAACCGTTGTCGCAGAAGTTCGAAAAAGTTGCTCGCAAAAGCCCGTTTGACAGAAATGTTTAAAAAGTGTTGGTTTTCCTACGAATCCGCAAGAGCGCGCGGGATGAGATTTTGACAATTTTTTTTTAAAAAACCATTGGGTTTTTGATGTTTTTATGTTGAAATCGTTCCGAACCTAAGGTTTTGGAAGGATTTCGTCTTGCGCGCGCGAATGTCCACTTTACCTTATTTTTTGCAAGGGATTCTTGAAATTTGATTACATTTGAACAAGAAATTTCATTTTATAGTGTTTTTTGCAAGGGAAAACGGGGGGGAACAAAACAACCGGATCCGGTACTAATCCACTTTTCTGAAGCTTTCGCGAAAAAATGATGAAAATGTAGCTGCGGCCTAGGTTTTGGAGGGGGGTCGTGCACCAGGGGTCCCAACAATAATTATTCTTTAGAAGTAATAATGTTCAACAACAATCACTTTACCCGAACGCTCAGTGTTCTCACCAGTGCCAGGGTTTTCATGCGACGCCAGCCAATACCCCCACTTTGTGGGGGGGCAGTGCAAGCTCTACCAAATATCCACACGACTCTTCGCCACCACCCACACCCAGCTTCCCGCCCTATGACGTTCGGACACTTCACTTCGTGGCCTGCGGACGACCGTGGCTACTACACTGGCGTGGAGTACACACCCACAGAAGTTGTTCGTGTGATTTTATGATGCGCGGTGCTAAAATTCTTAAGAAGCCCAATGGTTTTTGGAGATTTCGGCGTGCGCGCGCGAAGAAAAAACGAATGTGTCCCGCATGGTATTATTTGACAGGGATGATGGCCCTGGCAGGTGCGCAACCGTTGTCGCAGAAGTTCGAAAAAGTTGCTCGCAAAAGCCCGTTTGACAGAAATGTTTAAAAAGTGTTGGGTTTCCTACGAATCCGCAAGAGCGCGCGGGATGAGATTTTGACATTTTTTTGTTGAAAAACCATTGGTTTTTTGATGTTTTTATGTTAAAATCGCTGCGAACACTAAGGTTTTGGAAGGATTTCGTCTTGCGCGCGCGAATGTCCACTTTACCTTATTTTTTGCAAGGGATTCTTGAAATTTGATTATATTAGAACAAGAAATGTCATTTTATAGTGTTTTTTGCAAGGGAAAACGGATTACAACAAAACAACCGGATCTGGACCCCATCCACTTTTCTGAAGCTTTCGCGAAAAAATGATGAAAATGTAGCTGCGGCCTAGGCGCGGCGGGGGGGCCGTGCACCAGGGGTCCCAACAATAATTATTCTTTAGAATTAATAATGTTCAACAACAGCAACAACAGCAACAACAACAGCAACAGCAACAGCAACAGCAACAGCAACAGCAACTGCAACAACCACAACCACAATCACAATCACAATCGCAACCACAACAACAACAAGTTTCGCGTGTCGCTAGGGACATCCTCGAAGTTCAATGCCGCCGGCCCTACGCGACCTCATTATTGTTCGCAGAATAATTTCTCCGGCCCTACTCAAGTCGAGGCCGGGTTGGAAACCCCTACAAGAGAACCCGGAACAAAAACATCCCGTCCTAAATGTTTGACAACGCGAGGAGGTCTGGGTTCTGAGATTTCCGAGAAGGCCCGCCCCCATTTGTGCCAGCAGAGGGCCATTCTCACACGCATGCATTGGTACCCCATGGGTTTCAGTCGGGCATGTCCCTCTACAGGGGGAGTATTCAAAAATAGTTAGAAGGTAGTCCGGAGACGAATGTTCGACAATCTCCGGCTATTTCGGAACAGTTGCTTACTATGTTTTACTTGTCCCCCACCATCCGCCTGTAGGAGGACATGCCCGACCTGACCGTAGGGCTGCCGGAGGCCTCGCGGCACCCCCGCCGCCAGGGGACGAGCGGACCTCGTGTGGGAGGTCCCCCAGTACTCTCCCGGGACTGCCCCGCCAGCGCGCGCCACGCTTCTTGGGGCGGGTTGCGATTCATGCCTACACCCATTCATTCCCAGACCCCATCGCGCTGTGAAAAAGTCACGACGGCAGGGTTTTCGCTATGTTCGGCCTCCAGGCGCCCTTGCGGGGCCTCGGTGCTGTCCAGACACGACCCAGGACGAGAAATTGGCCCCGGGGAGGGGGTCCCAGACCTCTTAGGGGTCGACGCTATGAAAAATTCCACGACCTCGGGGGTCTGGGTGTATCGGCTCGACCGCACGCCACGAGCGGCGAGAATCGACCCGCATCCGCGCCCTCGCGGCCTGGGCTCTGGGGCGCGCTCCCGCGGATACACGAGGTCCCCACACGGATGCCTTCAGCGCGGGGCAGCCTCGAAGAAGGCGCCCCGTATCCGCGGGGTCGCGGCCCAGAGGCCGGGCCCGCGAGGCCACGGACATAGATGCGTGTCTTTTGCCCACGACAGCAGGGTGAGAGAGGGAGAGGAATGGATTCGACATCTGCTGCATTCTAGGCCTCCCAGACAGGGGCCGAGTAGACGGGCTCGGTGGATCGCGCCGCATCGCGCATGCATCGGCGATGCGGCTCGACGCGGAGCCCGCTTCGCTTCACGCCGACGCATCGCCGATGCACCGCCCACGTCGGCGATGCGTCGCCAACGCATCGCCGACGCATCGCCGATGCATCGCCAGTGCATCGGCGATGGGCGCGACCCTCCGACCCCATCTACAGTCAAAAGCCCTAATAAGGACGCGCGACTTTGCTCAGGGTACCCCTCGCGTCCTCGCTCTTCCTTGCTCTTGCGTCCTTGAGATTTTCGTCGTCCGCCGCCCAAAAAATCCCAACTTCGGCTTCCAAGGGTCTTGCGTCCTTACCGCGCGTCCTTATTAGGGTTTTTGATTGCACTCGGGCCCCATCCAGGAGGCCTCCACGGGAGGAATTCGACATCTGCGGCGTGCAGCTGGCTGCGGCCCCGCCGCCGGGCGCGCGCCTCGTCACGCTGGCGCGCCCCTCGCCGCGTCGGGAGGCGCGCCGGGAAGCTCGGCGGACTGCGCGAGCCGCTTCGCAGCCCTCCCCCCTTGTGGTCTCCCCCGTCTGGTCGTCCCTCCCTGGAGGTTTGCACACAGTCCACCCGCATGGTGAGGATGGGCAGCCTTCCCAAGAGTGCCCTTGCATCCTTGCCTCCTCGGTCCATCCTTGGCCACTTTCGTTGGCCGCGCCCCGCCCGAAAAGCTTCGAAATGGGCGTTCAAGGCCCTTGCATCCGAATCGCGCATCCTTATGATACGGGCCGACTGTACTTTTGGCCCCTTTCCCCCCCTTTCTCCTCCTCGGTTTCGCACGACCAGGTGCCAATGATGTCTTCGGGCCATGCGCGCAGTTTTTTTTCCGCGCTCGCTGCGTACTCGTGCGCCGCCTGCCCCTCAGGGTACCGCTCCGCCGCAGCCGGCACGCAGGCTGAAACTGAAAAAACGAAACCTTGTCGGTCGACCCGGCATGTGTGCAGCAGGGCTGTCTCTGTCGCCAAATTTGGCAGCCCACGTGGCTGGTGCAGTGGTGAAGATTTTGCTGCGTGCACCTTGCGTGTATATCACATTATCGATCAGGCTCCGCTGCTGGTCCCAAAGTACTGATGCAACAGGGTACCCCTGTCACAGTGCTGATCAGTGCTCCCTGACCCCCCGGCTCGTGACAGTCATCATGGACTTCCTCCTGCCAGTATTGATGGTCATGGTGATCCCCCCGTTTGTTCCCCATTGCGATACACTTGAAGCTCCATCTTCGTTTGATCCTCCGTCACACTTCTCCTGATATTAGTTGCAGTGTCCCATCCTCTTCGCGATGCCCTTCTGGCCCTCCGGGTACAACGTGGTACTTTCCCAGATCGTAGATTTCGTAGTCGTGTCAGCCATCACGTTGGTGTTTTTTTTCCGACGATGGCTCCTGGTGATGTTTCCGTCCCGTAACCCCTCAGAATTACCCTCACAGTTTTCTTAATGTTGCTTCATGGTCTCCGGCATTCACATGATGGTGAGCTCCCATATTTTGTCCAGCACCCATATGCTCGCAACTCCACGCATCTGCCTGACGGCGTGCGCCAGGGCGCCGTCGTGTCTCCGTCCTCGTCCCAAAATGGTCCTCCCACGAACACAAAAAGAAATACAGAAATGTGAGGCATGGCAACGTTTTCACGACACCTGATTGGGCGACGGGCAATTGCAATGCTGAATGTATCGGTCTTGATGTACTGTGCCAAGGTCTGTGCTGTGCTGTGCCGTGTTGAATTGCGATGCGCCATGCCGCGATTGTGCGATAGCGTTGTGGATAGAGTCCTCCTTAGCATCCGAGTCCTGACCGAACTGATTTGGATCTTAAGCTCGAGCTGTCTGAGCACATCATAGCTGCCCCAGAGCGAGTTGAAGTGGAAACGTGAGGAGCGTTCAATCAACTTGACCTCAAAATCCGACCCAGTTCCGAAAAGGAACGACACGACACGGGGCACAGGCTCGCGGACGCGGCACAGGATGTGCCAGGGGCGCAAACAGGGATGCGCCAGGGGACGTGTCAGGGGACGTATCAAAGGACGTTCCTTGGACGTGTCAGGGGCCCGCCACAGGACGTGCCAAGGCGCGTGCCATGGGGCGGCCAGAGGACGTCATGCCAAGGGACGGTGCAAGGGGCGCGCCGCGGAACGGGCAGGGGAAACGTGCGGGGACGAGCCAGGAAACGCTACAGAGGACGAGACAGGGAACGTGCCACGCCGAGCGGCGTGCTATGGGGACGTGCCAGGACATGTCACGCCAGAACGTTTCAAGGGACACGCCAGGGGGCGCGCCAGCGCGCCACAGGACGCCCCACGACGCCCCACGGACGGGCGGGGCTGGACTGCGACGCACTCTGTTGCGACAAGTTGTTCGTTCGAGACATGCTGACCAACTCCTCATGTTAGACAGCCATCTGGGCGACCTGGACACGTGAAACCAAGCGTCTCTCGACAGCCGTCCTCAACAAATCCTCATCTTAGACATCCGCCTGGGCGACCTGGACACGTGGAACCAAGCGTCGCGCTCGAGACGTTCTGAACACCTCCCTAGGCTTGACACCTGCCTGGGCAACCTGGACGCGTGAAAACAATAGTTTCGCTCGAGATGTCCTGTCCAAATCCTCATGCTAGACGTCCGCCTGGGCGGCCTGGACACGTGGAAACAAGCGTTTCGTTCAACACATCCTCAACACATCCTCATGCTGGACATCCGCCTGGGTGACCTGGAGACGTGAACAAAAAGCTTTTCGCTCAACACATCCTCATGCTAGACATCCGCCTGGGTGACCTGGAGACGTGAACAAAAAGCTTTTCGCTCAACACATCCTCATGCTACACATCCGCCTGGGCGACCTGGACACGTGAAAGCAAGCGTCTCGCTCGAGACGTTCTCAACACATCCTCATGTTAGACATCCGCCTAGGCGACCTGGGCACGTGACAAAAAGCGTTTCGTTCGAGACGTTCTCGACACATCCTCATGCTAGACATCCGCCTGGGCGACCTGGAGACGTGAAGACAAGCGTCTCTCGAGAGACACCCTCAACACATCCTCATGCTAAACATCTGCCTGGGCGACCTGTACGCGTGAAAAAAAACGTTTCTCTCGAGACATCCTCAACAAATCCTCATACTAGACATCTGCCTGGGAAGCCTGGACGCGTGAAACCAAGCGCCTCGCTCGAGACATCCTCAAGACCTTAGCACGCGAAAAACAGTACACCTGAGGCATACTCTGAATTCTGGTCCCCAGGAGAGGAACGATTTATAATACAAAACAAGAGTTTCGCTCGAGATATCCTCAACAAATCTGCAAAATAAGCGTTTCGTTCGAGATCTCCGCAACAAACAGAAATGTGCACTTGACCATTTGTTTTATCGATCGGGATTTCAAGAACGAGCGTCTCGCTTGGGACATCCTCAACTTTCTGGTTCGCAGGCCCTACGCGACTTCGTTATTTGTCGCAGCGTAGATTCGCTGGCCCTGCGCGTAAATTATGTCGCAGTGTTGCTCGGTTCACGTACTAAAAGAGAACCCTGGGCCGAAGCCTTTCCCGGGAGAAGACGCTCGGCGGCTTCGGGGTCCGACAGGGCCGCAGCTTTGGCTAAGGTCGAAGCGCTGCGCGGAGCTGGCGAAGGATCGTCGCCCCTTTTTGGACAGGGGGGGGCCCTGGGAGCTCGCAGATGCTGGGGGGGAAGGAGGAGCACAGACGCTGTGTACTCCACGCTGGGCGTCCGTGTCAAGTACACGACGAGGGGAAGAGGGGGCCTGGCATCGCTCGGACGTGTGCAATTTTCCTTCGGCGAGGACCATCGAGGAGCATCCTTGATCATTTGGCGAAACAACCACGCACGAAACCGAAAAAAACACAGGGAATGGACGTCCGAGCGATGGCGAGAACGACGACGGGATATCAAGAATGGCGAGTGGGCGGTCGCCAAAACGAGCACTGCAGGCATATCGCTACGCCCTCTCTTGACAGTCCTCCCGCGCTCCTCGTGCCTCGCCCTGTCGGCCTGCCCCCCCCCCCGGGGCCGCTCCCGCAGGAAGCGCCCAGACCACGGTGCCGGCGGCGAGGTGCGCGCGGCGCGCGCCTTCGAGCGGGGGGAGCTGGTGGCGGAGTGCCTCTGCGCGCCGCGGCTGCGCGGGCACGAGCGCCGAACGAGCGGAGACTGCGTCCTCCTCCTCCTCCTCCTCCTCCTCCTCCTCCTCCTCCTCCTCCTCCTCTTCTCGGGTCGGGCGAAGTGGGGGCGATTGCAAAGGGGGGCTACAGTCGAGTTGCATGAGTAGGTCGACCCTGCCGAAACAAGGGTACCCTAGTGTCCTATGTTTCGCGACCCATGCCCTTTATGTTCCACTGGCAATGTGGTTATCGGAAGGGTCTCGTGTCCTCTCGCGTGTCCCTCCAATCCACCCCGATTGTAGAAGATCAGCTGCATTCGGCCGATGCTCCTATAGCCGGTTTGCATGCTGCAGCGACCGGATGCTTGGAGTCGCCGGCGATCGCCCTCACACAGTTGAATATCACAGAAGTTGTTGGCGGACCGTGCGTAGTAGAAGAGAGAGGAGACGAACACATGGTGATACAATTGCACATTGCATGCATATGTGTCTATAAAACTAGATGTGTGTGTGTGTGTGTGAACTTGGCGCGACATCAATTAGGGGAAAGTTTCCTACTGCATGGGCGCAGTGTTTGGAATTGCTTGGCATTGCTAAGAAAACGAGGCACTGGAGGCGGGGAACCCTGGGAACCCGAGGAACCTCCGAGGAACGGGCAACGTAACAACAGGAGGCACCAGGGGCGTGAAATTCGAGGAACCCGGGGAACCCGAGGAACTTCCCGGGAACGGGCAAGGTGACCATAGGAGGCATCCATTTAACCAAGTAAGAACCCCTTTCAGCAAGCCCAATGTGGGGGATATCGCATGTATCTATATATATATATATATATATATACATATATATATATATATATATATATATATATATCGGAGGTGAGGGGGTGAGATCGAAGTGGAACGGAGAGCCCCCCTACCGGGAAATCGATTTCGGTTTCGTGTTCGTGCGTGCCGTGCGCGCGGGCGAGGCGAAGCTGCGTGGGCGGGCGAAAGGAAAGTCTCCTGTGGCTGAGGCGCGGCCGGACCAAATGTGTCTCTTCTGGGCGGCCGGTGGCGGGCGGTGTCCCGCCGGTGTTCCGCTGGTGTCCCGTCGGTGTCCCTGTGGCTGAGGCGCGGCCAGACCAAATGTGTCTCTTCCGGGCGGCCGGTGGCGCGCGGTGTCCCGCCGGTGTCCCGCTGGTGTCCCGTCGGTGTCCCTGTGGCTGAGGCGCGGCCGGACCAAATGTGTCTCTTCCGGGCGGCCGGTGGCGCGCGGTGTCCCGCCGGTGTCCCGCTGGTGTCCCGTCGGTGTCCCGTCGGTGTCCCGATGATGATGTGGATGATTATGATGATGATGATGATGATGATGATGATGATGATGATGATGATGATGATGGTGATGATGCGATGATGATGATGATGATGATGATGATGATGATGATGATGATGATGATGATGATGATGATGATGATGATGATGATGATGATGACGATGATGTTGGTGTTGTTGTTGATGATGATGATGACGTCGATTGTGATATCGATTGTGACATCGATAATGAGACCGAATGTGAGATCGATTGTGACATCGATAGTGGGACCGAATGTGAGATCGATAGTCAGATCGATTGTGAGATGATGATGGTGATGATGGTGATGATGGTAATGATGGTGATGATGGCGATGATGGTGATGATGATGATGACGATGATGATGATGATGATGATGATGATGATGATGATGATGATGATGATGGCGTCAATTGTGAGATCGATTGGGAGTTCGACTGTGAGATCGATTCCGTATTCCCGTATTCCGTATTCCCTGACCAGATGAGGCGCACTTTCGCTGGCTTTCCAGACATTTGCCCTGTTTCGGCTACTGCGGATGTCGGCGCGAGCTCGAAAGAGGAAGGAAACAAATTACGATGTTGCCCACTGCTGCCCCCCCCCCCCAACCTAGACCGAATGAGACTTCGACTGTGAGACCGAATGTGAGATCGATTGCGAGATCGATTGTGATATCGATAGTGAGATCGACTGTGAGATCGAAGATGAGATCGATTGTGAGATCGGTAGTGAGACCGAATGTGAAACCGAATGTGAGCTCGATAGTGATATCGATTGTGAGATCGATGGTGGGATCGATAGTGAGACCGAATGTGAGGCCGAATGTGAGATCGACTGTGAGATCGATTGTGAGATCGTAGTGAGATCGACAGTGAGACCGGATGTGAGACCGAATGTGAGATCGATTGTGAGATCGATTGTGATATCGATAGTGAGATCGATAGCGAGATCGATAGTGATATCGATAGGGAGATCGAATGTGAGATCGATTGTGAGATCGATAGCGAGATCGATTGAGTGAGACGTTGGTCCCCCCTCCCCCCTCACCTCATCACCCGCAGGGTGGTCGTATAGGTGCGTATATATATATAATTTATGAGACCCAGAACCTCAGCGCTGAATAAAAAAGGCACTTGGTGTCTGAAAGCTACGCGCGGCACGACACGCGTCCACGGCACGGAGAGACTTGGCAGAGCTCCCGCAAGCCAGCTTATTGGGCCTGCGGGCACGGCACGACACGGCACGCGGGCGGCGTTTTTGTTGTTGCCTTCTGGGGTTTTTTCGGGGGGCACGGCGCGGGCACCGCACGGCACGGTACGTGTGCTCGCGCGCGGGGTTTTGGGCACGACACGGGCACGGGTACGGCATGGGCACGACGGGCACGGCACGGCACGGCACGGCACATGATTTGTAACTTCGAGGTTGTGGGCACACCTCGGGCACGGCACGTGTTTCGCCCTTGGGGTTTGGGCACAGGGCGGGGGCGGCAGTGTGCGGCACGTGTTTCGCATCCCCCGCTTCCGGCACGGCACAGGCACGACACGGCACGCCTCGTGTTTCGCATTCTGAGGTAAGAACACGGCGCGGGCATGGCACGGCATGGCACTGCATCTGTGTGCGCAGCTCGCGTTTTAGGCACGGCGTGCGCACGGCACGGTACGGCATTCGGGCGGCCATTCTTGTTCGCTTTATGGGTTGTAATTCATGAAATTCAAACGGGACCCCCCTATAGATAGACTTTTGAGGGAAACAAGTGTTGTGAATGCCAGCTTCTTTTGGGAAACACCCCTTTCAGACGCGCCTCGCGTATGAAGCCACTTAGGAGGATGACAGCACATCATTTTGGTCGGGGAGGGTCTGGCCATAGGGGTGGACATTACCAAAACCACCCCCATTAAATGTGTTTCCGGTTGCGCTGCACACAGCAGCGCACAATCTTGCCACACATGCCTATCTCCCCCCACTCCCACCTCTCCCTTTCTCTTTTTCGTCGTCATCCTGGAAGTCGTGGGCATGCACCCGACGAGTCTACACACTTCACTTCCTGACAGACTTAATGCCGTAAGGATTGCCTAATATGGCATGCTGTTCTTTTGAACCAGAATTGTGCGGCATGTCAGTGCAGGATGCCACTGCCGCCCCTCGCGCCCCGAGCAGTTGAGCAGGGGACGCCCGTTTGTGTCAACGCACCCCTTTCTCCACACCCTACTATGTCCCTATACTGTTTGGCTTGTGGCCGCCCATCTCGATGGCGCCTGTTCCATCAAACAGCTTCTTGGAACACCAACGAAGGTGTGCACCATATGTTGGTCTTTGCGCGGGGCGCGGTGGCCAAATGCGACGACGGCGATGACCAACAGGCAGCGGTGGCGATAGCAACCATGACCGAACCAGCGACTCCATCGAATACTATGGCCAGTCTGGAGGGCCCGGTCGCCTTCTTCGACCCGTCCCCAACCTTGGTTTATCAAGCTATCGTGTCATTGCCAGGCTGTCTCGCCACCTGTGAGGAGCAGAAGTAACAGAGTTCTCGCCACCGCTATGTTTGCATAAACGTGTTTGGCCGAATTGCTGTTTGCACACGTTCGCTACATCGGATCGATCTGCGAGTGTTCAACACGATTCACAGACTTACAAACGCCCACCCTATTTCTATGCGTAGCCCCTTAGATGACACGCATGTGGCCAGAATCGCTGCGCAACTGGATATGTTCCTATGCGAAGACGGCGTCGAGAAGTACCAATTGCATTCTGGCGCCACTCCTGCCCAGATCCTTCCTACAGCTGGTATTGGTGCTCAGGGCCCTCCTGGCGTGGACCAGGAGGGTCTGCACTCTCATGTGGCAGGCACCTATGGTTTCGCGTGAGTTCTCAGTGCCTCCCTACCATCGGTACTTCGTTGTTCTCTGGGAGTAGTCGTTTGGCTGGTGGAGGTCTCGGGAGGCGCCTCGGTGTCGCCCCTCTCCGCGTCATCGCCGCTTCGCTTCCACAGACCTGTACGGGGATCGGCAAGAGCCGTGCCGCACTGAGAGGCATGACGAGTGCGAGCTCAGCGTGCAAGCATCTCGGCGGCAAGCGAGGGGGAGAAACGAGAGGGAGAAGGCGCTCTCAGAAGGCGGCGGGACTTCTCGGAAGCCCTCGCGCCATCTCTGATTTCGGGGAGGGCTCAGAAAACTTCTCCGAAGGCCAGGGGGGGGGCTTCCGAGCCCTCTGAGAAGGTCCGCCCCTTCCCGCTTCCCCCCGGGGCTCGCCGCCGAGCATCACCACCACGTCGGGGGCTTTGGCGCCCACACGCCCTGGTCACCCCGCGCTTCCCGCGCGTCCCGCGGCCCGGGCCCCCGAGATCTCTCCCGGGGCGGCGGCGCGAGGCCGCGAAGGCAACGCGCGCCCCGCGGGGCGCGGTGCGCAACGACGACGACGACGACGACGACGACGACCTTCGTCGCGGTCGCGGGCGTCGCCGCGGTTGTCGCGACGTCATCGGCGTCTTCCCGTCTTCCGTCTTGAGCCCCCTCGCACACATGCTCAAGTAAGTTCAGATTCTTCGTGCCGAGTGCCTCGCTGCCCTGGTACGCCCGTGAGGAAGCGCAGCGCGTGCCGTCCCCGACACGTGCGTGCCAATGCGTGGCGTGTTGGCTCAACGAATTGGCCCACGTTTTGGCGAACGTGTCGCGGCAGACCCACGTTTTCAGTCTACTTGTTGAGTTCCGTATCAATACGCTCCTGCGTTAGTTCGTCACCACGGCTGGTTTCGTCTCAAGTCGAGATTGGACTCTACCGCCAGGTTGTCGATTTTCAGCCCTGAGCTTCGGGCGCGGCTAGGAAGAGGGTACATCCGTTCTAGAGCGCTCCGGAACGCTCCCAGAGTGTTCCAGAACACTCTGAGAAGGCCGCGGCGCCCGAGACATCCCGCAGAGCCGTGGGATCTCAGAGATTCTCGATCTATCTTCACCTGATGTTCTTCTCGCCCTGGCTTCGCGGTTTGAGCTCGTCGCCACGGGCTGGGTTCTCAAGCCGAGCGGCCACGTCGGGGGCCCGGCGGCCCCGAGGCCCCCCTCGCGCTCCTGCGCCTCTCTCTGCGCACGCGCGCTCGGCCACCTCGGGGCGCTGGGAGGCACGGGGCGTTCCGAAAAGGGCCATGCCTGCGAGGATAGAAGGAATTGTCACCTCATCCGCGGCGGAAGGGCGGCGGAAGTAGAATGAGGCCGCCCGGCGGAAGGGCGGAAGGCGGCGGAAGGCGGCGGAAGGCGGCGGAAGTGTGAAGACGCGCACCCAAGAGGTGAAAACGTTTTGGGGTTCATGGTTTCCGTACTCCGCCATACGTCAGGGTGGGAAAAACACAGACACAATTAATCGTCGATTCCCAGGAAAATATGTGAACATATAGGAAGTGGAGGGGAACAACAATTTCGAAAATATTGGAAAATGTTGAGAATCGTGTTATTTGTGTCTCTCTATTTGTGTGTCCCAGGGCCCCTTCAAAGAGATGAAAAAGTTTTTGGGGTTCAGGGTTTCCGTAATCCACCATAAGGTCGGGGGGGCCCGCGGCCCTCGGACGATGCCGACCTCCCAGCGCCCCCGAGGTTTCTCCGAGCGCGCCTGCGCAGAGAGGAACGGGAGCGCGTTCGGGGCATCGGGGCCGCGGCCAGCGGTCGGCGGCGAGCGAGGGGGGGAGGTGAGGAGGAGAAGGCCTTCTCAGAAGGTGGCGTGGCTTCTCAGAAGCCCGCCGGCTGTCTGAGAGGTTTTCTGCGCCTTCGGGGAAGGCTCAGAAAATTTCTCAGACGACCCGGGAGGCTTCCGAGCCTTCTGAGAAGGCCTTCTCCGTCTCGCTTCCCCCCCTCGCTCGCCGCCGAGAGAGGTGCAGAATGTCGACGGGGCATCGGGGCCGCGGCCAGCGAGGTTCCGATCGACACCAGGGACATCGACCGTTGCTACCTGGACGCTTACACATATCTGAGAGGCTTGCATTCGCCTGTTGCACCGCAAGAACCCTCCTCTGGCAAGTTGGGTCGCAGAAGTGATCAGGGAAGACTCGGCATTACGCATTGAGATGCCCTCTGCGCTCACCGCGCAAGAAACAGCAGCCGGCAAGCTCGCCCTCGAAACTACACACGAAGTCGGGAGCTTTTCGGCAACATCTGCATGTGATCAGGCGCAGTTGAGGCCTCATACTCCTCATCATCATCCTCCTCCACCTTCTCTTCCTCCCTCCTTCTCCTTCCTCCTCCTCGTCCTCCTTCTCCTTCTCCTTCCGTGCAACCCTTTCGTTTCAGGCGTCTGGGGCGGGCGCGCGCACGAATCGGCGAGCAGTCTTGCACATCACGCGCTTGACTAGGCGGATATCGGGCATGTCCCTCTACAGGAAGAAGATTCAAAAATAGTCAAAAACATATTTGGGGGGCGATTTTTCATTTTTTTGACTACGTTTGAGCATTGTTTGGCTATGTTTCATTTTCTTCCAAAATCCGCCTGTAGGAGGACATGCCCGACCTTTGACTAGGCAAAGTACGATCTCGCAACGGGATTCAAGCCACCCAGCCGAGCGCGCCTTGGAGGCTTGTGGACAGATTTCGGCAGTTGCCAACCTTACTCAAGGAGACTACCGCATGCTTCCAATTTCGAAGCTCGACTCCTGAAAGACATGCACCAAACAAGTCCCCGCTTGTGGGCAGGGGCATCGCATTTCAGAGTTCCACCACCAGGTGGTCCTCGTCCGCTCCAGATGGGGAGATGGTGTCCCTTCATTCCACAGCAGCTTCTAGCGCCCTAAGGAACATGCTACCAATCACAGCATAGGTGTCCAGGTCAATATTGTTTGCGAGCTTTCCTGGAAGGCGGTGGCAGGGCGTGAGAGAGAGGGGTCGGAGAGGCATGGCGCCCTCAAAGAGCAATGGGCGCTTGGGCATGGGGGTGGAGGTATTGGTGTCTCGTAGCGGCTGGGCCTTTGGCACATAGGACAAGGGGTTTATCCCATCGCGCAGACCTGCAACCCTGGTCAGCCTGGTGAGGCATCGATGCTTCCAGCCGTTGTTGCCTTCCAGAGCTCTGCGCTGCATGGGTATGGGAGGGCTGTTCCTGTTCGTTAGTCCATCGAAAGATCTGGGCAGGATGGCGGGCTTCACCAGCAAAGGAAGCTGCCGAAACTGGTGCCCTCGCCCCTGTGCCACACACACACACACAAGGCCCTGTACAGTGGGGACCCGAGGAGGAGGAGGAGGAGGAGGAGGAGGAGGAGGAGGAGGAGGAGGAGGAGGAGGAGGACTGGACGTCCGTCGGTGTTTGGTGTAGGAGCGTCACGCTTTCCGCAGCGAGGCCACAGCGAGGCCCAGGAGATCCGCGGGCACCCCCGGGAGGCAGGACAGGGTGCCTCTCGGCAGGGCCCCCCCCCCCCCGCGCAGCCGCAGCCAGGAGGGGCCCCTGGCGGGCCGAGGCCGCCGCCGGACCGCCAGACGGCCAGGCCCCGCAGAGATCGCCGACCCCCACAGCACGCGTGCTGCCGGAAGTTCTACCGGAGGGAAAGGACACACAGACACGATTAATCGTCGACCCCCGGGAAAATATGGGAAAATATGGGAAGTGGAGGGGGGGAGACAAAAACCCAGAAACTATATGAAAATAGGGGGATTCCTTTTAGTTGTGTGTATTTATTCGTGTGTCCCAGGGCCCCTTCTGTTCTGCCGCCCCAGGGTGGCGCTCTCGACTGTCTGCGCGAACGAAATGGGCACGGAAAGAAGGGGCACAGTGTCCAACAGCAGTTCCTGTTCCTTTTGAACAGGACTCGCTGTCCGCGCCGCCGCGGCCCGTGTCCATTCGAAACAGAAGGCCGCCTGCCCAACAGCGGTTGTCGGGCATTGTACCCATTCTTTCCGTGCCCATTTCGGGCGTCCAAAGACTGGACGTAAGAGTGACCTTTCGCCGGAGTAGCCTTTCTGGTGTGGGCACAAGTTGGTCCCCCGATCGCCGAACGCGATGCAGTGGCAGCGTCCTGCGCGCCCGTGCTCGGTCCCCCAGCGGCCCCCCAGAAGCCGCGCACCAGAGGTCACTCTTGCCCAGGGTCACTCTTGCGTGTAGCCGAAGGGTGCGATTCGCCAGTGAGGCGGGGCCGGCGCCGAGGGCGTGGTGAAGACACGCGCGCTTCCCAGACCTCCTCGCGCTGAGAAAAAATCACGGCGGGGGGGTTTTCGCTATTGTCGGTCTCCGGGGGCCCTTGCTGGGCCTCGGGACGGTCAGAAAACGGCTCAGCCCCCCCCCCCCCCCCAAAAAAACAATCCTGGGGAAGGGGTCCCGACCTCTGGGGGTCGACGATGTGAAAAAATCACAACGTCGGGGGTCTGGGTCCATGCTTCTCCCTCCGCCCGCCACTCCTTCCGCCTCCCCTCCCCCCTCCCCCTCCGCCACACCCGGGGCGCGGAGATTCGTCGCGCTCCTCGCGGCGCGAGAGGCGCGAGATCGGCTCGCTGGGGGAGGCGCCGCGCGCGGGCAGCCCCCGCAGGGGAGGGGCTGGAGCGATGCCTGCGCCGCGGCGGCGGGGCCGGCGGAGGCAGCGGCTGGGCGCCATTCGCTGCGCGGAGGGGGGTCCACGGGGGTAGATGTCGGTTCGGTGGGGGGTCCTCCTCCTCCTCCTCCTCCTCCTTCTCCTCCTCCTCCTCCTCCTCCCTCCTCCTCCTCCTCCTCCTCTCCTCCTCCTCATCCCCTCCTCCTCCTCCATCTCCTCCTCCTCTCTCCTCCATCTCCTCCATCTCCTCCATCTCCTCCCTCCTCCTCCTCTCCTCCCCTCCTCCTCCTCCTCCTTCTCCTCCTCCTCCTAGCCCTTCTGCGCTCGAGTAGCGTTGCAGGAACAGTTCTTCAGAAGGGCCCGCGTTCCTGCGAGCCTTTTTCGTTTCTGCGGGCGGAGTCCCGCGCTTCCTACCACGATACCCATCCAGTTGTGTGCGCGATGGCTGTGCCTTCCCCAGCAGCGGCGAACTGGGGAGGGCCGATCCCGCCTTGGCAGCTGGAGGCGCAGCAGCAGCAGTATGCCCAGTCCTTCAACAAAGGCAAAGGATTCGGCAAAGGAGGCAAGACAGGTACTACGTTCGGTGGAAAGGGTGGCGCCCAGCACGGCGATGCACCTTCATCGAGGTGGACTTGTCCGAGTTGCGGCTGCAAGAAGAACAAGCAGGCTTGGCAGCAGTGCAAACACTGCTGGGCTTGGCGTTCGTCACCATCGTTCCAACAGCCCGCCGCTCCTCGCGGAGTGTGGGCACAGGGGCCGCCGCCCCCAGGGACATGGGTTGCTAATCCGATGCTGTCTCCCGGTGGTGCTGCTCCTCTTCATCCTGGCCCGCAAGTTCCAGGCGCAGGAGGAGCCCAGCTACCCCCCGACGAGAACACTCGGATTGCATCACTGGTACAGTTGTTGCGAGCCCAGGGTGACGAAGAATCAGCAAAGCGTTATCAACACAAGCTCGACGAGATGGCCGCAGCCAAGAAGGTTGAGCCCCCCTTGCAGCAGAAGGTCAACCAGGCGTACCACAGCATGCGGAGCTTGGAGGCCCGACTGTCCAAAGCGGTGGAGTCCTTCGAGCGCATCTCCAACGAGCTGGTCCAGGCCCGCGCCAATGTGGAGTCAATTACTTCGCAGTTGGAGGCCTCGGAGAAGCTACACAAGGAGCTGGTGGAGCAGTTGCACCAGTCGGTGGATGATCGGCCTCGGAACCCCGAGGGCTCTGTCAAGCAGGAGGTCAAGATCTCCATCTCTGACCTGCTTGGTGGACAACCGCTACCCATTGACATGTCCAGCCTTTTGGAGTGGGAAGCAGACTACGACCTCAACGAGGAGGACAGAAACGAGGCTGCGGCTCGGCTCAAGACACTCAACGACGAGATACAGAAGCAGGCGAAGAAACTCTTTGGTGCCGCGCAGGCTCATGCTGAACGCGTTCGTAAGGAGATGGAGGAGCAGAAGTCACGCTTGGCTGGCAAGAAGCGGAAGGTTCTTGTACCAGGTGCCGCTGCAGGAGCTGAAGATGATGGTCCGCATGTGGGTCATTCAGCCACTGCGCAGGCTCCTGGTGGTGAAGCTCCGGAGGCTGGTCAAGAGTCGACTTCCCCCACGGCGGCTCCATCAAGCGGTACGGGCGCGCCATCGGCGAGTTCTGATGCCAAGGCGCGTGCAGCCAAGATTTTACAATCAGACCCCCCCAAAGGTGACAGCGCCTGAGGGGGGGAGCCAGCGAGATCAGAATTTTTTGACTTCTTCCAACGGAGGGGGTACCTCCCCCACAGCAGCCTGTGTGTTGGCCAGCCCTGAGTGGATCTCCCAGGGCACCTCTGAGTCACATGCGGTCTCTAATACTAATTTTTTGTGGGCCCACAGTGGCCCTCTCGTTCGGGCGGTTCAGCATACGTTAGCCAGGGCCAAGGGGGCCCTGCTGGCGAATGGTGTTTCTGCTCGGCCGTCGAAACCTATGACCCTTAGGGGCCCGCTTTTGCCTGGTGTTCCGCCCAGGTCCGATGCGCAGTTGATCAGGCCCATGGAGGCCAATGCTTTTCCTGTTGAATCTTTTTCGCCCTCAGTTGAAACCTGTAATGTCTCAGGGTGGGGGCCTGGCCAGCTCTGGTTGCTGAAGACTAGTGCTGATATCGTGATCATGCAGGAGCATAAGCAGTTGGCTAACCAAATCGATCCTGGTTCTTCCTGGGCTAGACGCCACGGGTGGAAAAGTTTATGGAGTGCTGCTGTGCCTGGTGATGGTCAAGGCCCGTCATCGGGAGTCGCTCTCTTTGTTCGTGATGGGCTTGGTCTGCGGGCTCCTGACTCTGGAGCTACCATTATACCGTCGAGGGCTCTGGCAGGCATCGTCGAGGTGCCTGGGCAGCCCACGTTTTTGGTGATGGCCGCCTACTTCCATGACTGCCAGGACCTCTCGGATTCAAACATCGATATCTTGTGTTCGTGTTTGTCCCTGGGGGAGGGCCTCGGTTTCCCTTTTTTCCTGGGCGCGGATTTTAACATGGAGCCTGAGAAGCTCCTGACTGGGGGCCTGGGGGACCAGAAAAGCATCCAGTTCCTGGTGCCTGAGGGTCACACGATGAAATCTGTTGCGGGTCTTAAGCAGTACGATTTCTTTATTGCCTCCTCTGACTTGGCCAAGACGGTCAGCAGTGTGCAGGCCATCCGTGACACCAACCTCTGTACGCATGTCCCAGTCAGGATTAGCATGCATCCGCAGTTCGGGCGGTTGCAGGCTTTGTCTTTTCGGAAACCCCCTCCGCTGCCCACGTCGCCTCTCCCGCCTGTGTGCCTCGTCGCCGCTTGTGAGCCTCCGACGTGGCTGCATGATGTGCTGGACTCGTCTCGTAGAGCGGCGACGGTGGGGGATTTCGAACGAGTTCAGGACTCGGTTGACTTGGTCTATAAACACTGGGCGAATGCTGCCGAGCGTGAGGTCTCCGCTGCCACGGGTAAGGTCCTTCCTGTTTGGGGTTCTCGTGGTAAGCCTCCCCAAATGTGCTGGCGCCCAGTGCTGTCCAAGGACTCTGGCAAAGGCGATGGCACACTGTTTGCTGCTAGGTGGCTGACCAATCTCTTTAGTGAGTTCGAGTGCTACTGGACCGTGGGAGACCAGTCTGGCATCGGACGGGTGCTCGAGCGCCTGGAGCAGCCACCAGCTCAGTGCGCCGCTGATCTGGGCCAGATGGAGAATTTTAGGTCTTCGCTGGAGGAGTTCGTCCGCGAGCTCCCGATGTGCGAGCCAGCAGACGGCCCAATGCTTGATTTTTCCATCACTTGCATGAGATGTGCCGTGACATGCTTGTGAATATTGAGGCTGCCTCTAGGAAGCTTGCCAGGAAAGAGTTCAAGGAGTGGTTACTGTTTAAGGTGAATCGGGGAGCCCGAAGGGTCCACACCGTTTCCAAAGGAGCGACGCCATGGGTCCCCACCACCACCCTGTCCTTGGACGGAGTGGTGGTGGCGGACCCCTTGTCGTTGCTCCAAGCTGAGTCCAAACGTTTTTCCGACCTCTGGGGGGATGCTGGTGGGGGTCCCTGGTTCCATGTCGGTGAGCTTGCCCCTGAACTTCCTGAGGTTCCTGTGGAGGCGATACGTGAGTTTTCCAGGCGTTTCAAAATCAACACTTCTGTCAGCGTCGACGGATTTCACATGCGGCATTTCTCTTTCTTGAGTGATGAGCTGCTCAGAATTCTGTGTGGTCTGTTTGCCGTGATGGAGCTCACGGCGCTGATACCGAGACAGGTGGCCATCACTCTCCTTACGTTGATCCCGAAACCAGCTTCTGGTTTTCGCCCGATTGGGAATTTTTGTGCGATTTACCGTGCTTACGGCAAGGTGCGGAGGCCCCTGGCCCAGGAGTGGGAGTTCAAAAACGCTCGGAGTTTTTTCGCGGCTGGGCCCTTCGAGGGGGCCCAGGACGCGGTGTGGAGACAGGCGGTTCGTGCGGAGACCTCGACTTTGAGCAAGGATGAAGCCGCAACGGTCCTGCTCGATCTTTACAAATATTATGAGACTATTGATCTCAAGTTGCTCCTGTGGCGTTGCAAGCAGGTGAATTTCCCCCTCGCGATCGCTCGGCTCGCGATTGCGATGTATCTTCAGGCTCGGTTTTTTGTGTTGAACGGGTTTGTGGATGGGCCCTTCTGGGCCTTGGGGGGAATCATCGCGGGGTGTACGTTTGCCACCACGTTGATCAGAGTGTACTCGATTGCTTCCCTCGACATGCTGTGCATTCCGCCACAGGTGCATTTTAAGTTGTATATCGACGACTCTGGCCTCAGTGCTACGGGGTCGCGGCGATACATTGTGGAGCATCTGCCACCGGTGGTCAGAGCCTTGGTTTCTATTCTGGAGGAGGGGATCGGAGCTAAGGTGAGTCAAGATGTGGGAATGAGATCCTTGATCGCTTCTTCTAAGGCGCTTGGGCGTGATCTCGCTCAGGCACTAGGTGGCCTGGCTGGCCCCTTAGTCAGTTCAGCGGCGAACCTAGGAGTGGATGATTGTGTGGGACGCCCTAGACGTGTTGCTGGTAGGAGCTCGAAGCAAAAGAAGCGTGAACAAAAAGCTCGTGGTTTTGTTTCCCGTTTGGCCCGCTTGAGGCCTCTGGTTGGGGCCCGTGTGACCAAAAACGTTTTTGCCTTGGGAGCTTTGGCCTCGGAGCTTTTCGGATCCGAAATATATGGTGTGAGCGACTACGAGCTGTTGAGATTGCGGCGCCAGGCGGCGTCAGTCTTGCAACCATCAGCGTCTGGAAGATCGCTGACGGCTCTTCTTCTTTCGCATGGCGAGCCGTGTTGGTATGCGTCGGTCGCTCCGATGGTCAGATGGTCGAAGGAAATATGGATTGCTCACCATCGGACCTACCCCCACTGTCTCTCGCTCCCCGAACTCAGGGAGGCCTGGGACGTTGGTTTCTCGGGAGACTCCCCTTTGTGGCGGTCGGTCTCGGGGCCGATCACGGCGTTGAGAAAATCATGTGAGCGGATTTCCTGGTCCATGCCTTCCTTCGCTGTTTTTAGAACTGACAAGGGTGAGGAGGTTAAATTGACGGAGTTCTCGCCTACTTTGATTAAGAATCTGCTTCGCAAAGCTGTTGTGAGAGGTCTCGAGTGGGACATGGGGGCTCGTCTGAACATGTCTGGGCGTGTTTGCACTGATGGGGTCCTTAGTTATCTCCAGAGCACGAAGTATTCTGCCTTTGAAAAAGGCTGTCTGAGGGCGCTTTTTTGCAACGCGGTGTACACTCGTACGCGTGCGGCAGACCTAGGCTACCAGCTGCAGAACGTGCTGTGCCCGCTGTGTGGCGAGGCGCCTGACACGCTCCGCCATAGATTGTGGGAATGCCAGTGTCCTGATGTAGTCGAACTAAGGAACTCGATTGTGCCCATAAAGATCCAGAAGTGGGCGAGCCAGGTGGACGACAACTTGGCTGTCTTTGGGGTGTTTCCTCACCCGGGTGATGTTTTTCCTGCTCCGTTGGATAAAGGTGGTATTCAGGTGGAGTGGGCCCAAGGAGAGGTTGGGGACCTTCATAGTGTGTTCGCTGGAGACATGTTCGTGGATGGATCGTGTTCGCGTTACATTGTGAAAGAATTGAACCGAGCTGGCTGGGCCTTCACTTTGGTTGACAGGGAGACTGGGCTTGAATTAGTGAGAGTCAGAGGACCAGTTTGGGGGCCATGCCCCCAGACTCCACAAGCAGCCGAGTTTTTTGCCATGTCTATCGCCATTCAGTGGAGCACAGGCCAGTGTGACATTTTTTCGGACTGTTTAAATGTTGTGAATTGTTTCGGGATGCCCTGGATGGAGCAGCTATCAGCCAGGTATATGTTTGCTGGCGTGGCTCAGTTTGCTCGTCCGCACATGCACAAAGTCACGGTATCCAAAGTGAAAGCCCATCTTGCTGTCGATGAAGCGGTCGACGAAAGGGATCGCTATTTAAGACAAGGCAATGCGTGGGCTGATACCTCGGCCAAGGTTGCGGCATCCTTGCATCCTGCCCCGTCGGACGAGTTGCGTGAGGGCCTGGATCTTTCCGTGGCCGTGGCTCGAGCTGTAGGACGTTTGGGTGCTAGATTAATGTCCTTGTGGCCTAGATTTGACTTGGGCAAAGATTTAGAGCGAATCAAGCCACCTGCTAAAGAGCAGGCTCCTGCGAAACCTTCACATGAATGGCATTGGGTAGGCTCGTATTGGCAATGTGCTACGTGCTTGCGTGGTCGTCGTGGCACGTTTGGCGTCGAACCTCCTGGTGGGTCATGCTCGCTCGCTTTGCATGTGCACCCGTCAGTACTTCGTGATCTAGGGCATAGATGTGTGCTCATAGACTGTACGGATGGTAGTTTCGTTTGCATTTGCCACAAATGTGGTTATTACACGTCGGGGGGCCGGCTTGATCGCCTAGGTAAGAAGTGCGAGCCTTCGAAACGGGCCTCGCATTGTAATCCTTGGAGTCGTCTCCAAAAGGGCCTCCACCCGTCATACAATAAACCAGGAGTGCGGGTGGATGTCAATACGTTTTGTCAGGTTTAATTGTGCCTTTGCTCAGGGTGTGTGATGCGGTTCACTTTCGCCACTGCTGTTGCACGGCCCTTGCTCGCTGCTGCGCGGCCACGGGGTGAAGGCTCCTTGTGGTGACGGCGGC